AGGCGGGCTGGGGCGCACCCCTGGGTGAGAGGCCGCGTACGTGTGTTGTGTGCTCAGATGGGCATCAGGCGGGGGTGCACGCCCCGGTCCTGGTGTGCGCTTACATAAGCGCCCACTCCTCCGCGTCCCTTTCCCGAGATCCCGACGTTCTGCTGCGGCACCGCGGACACCACGACTTCGCCCCGCGCCGCCTCCTCCCGGGGCCCTTTGAGCGTCTGTTTCCAACCGAGCAGAGGCGGAAAGTTTTTGCTCCCTTCCCACCTTCCACCCAAAGGTGAAATCGTGGTGAGATTTGCAACCGCGATCTCCCTCTGTGATAGAAACCGCCTCCTTCACCCCTTCGCCTTAATGCAGTTTTTTCTGACGGTAATTTTGATCGTGCAAGGGTTCGATGGCCTGAACGGAAACGAGAAACCCTTCTGATTCCTTAGGATTGTAGGACCGACATTATTGTATGGTTAGGTGGCAAATGATGTTTATTGGTTGATTATTATTTTTTTAACCTTCATCCACTTAACCTTTTAAACGTTGCATGCTTTCTGGTATTGACTGATGTTGCCAACGAAAAGCTTACGCATTGCAGATATATGCTTCTGAATGGGTTTTGAATCGTAAACATTTTCCCTGGCCTTGGAGCAAAGTAATCTAGATGTAGTCTATAGAGTACCTGAGTCTATTCTTCTATTTTTTTATCAAAAGAATTTTTGGGGAGGATGATTGATAGCAGTCTAGATGGAATGGTCATATTTCAATTTAACAAGCTTTTCAAATTTCTTGTTTTCTCCTCCTTGGCATGACATAACAAAGTGAAGGGCATAAGAGGCGAATGCACCTCTTGTTCCCTGTTCCTTTCTTCACACCCAGGACGATAAACTTGGAATGCGTCTTTTATTTCATTTCTAACATTGTGTTGACTCTGTCAAATTCTGATCTTAGTCACTAAGTATCTAATTGCTCCCGATTTGATTTTTAAGAGTTGCATCAAGCTAAGTTTAAAATGTTCTTTCCAGATGTCTGATGGAGGTCTGAAAGTCTAATATATCCAGAAAAAAAAAAATCGAAGTTTTGCTTCTCTTGGGGAAAACCCACACATTTAAAAAATGTGTGCTTGGATTGGGCATTTGGGGAACAGTTCAAATATATTTAGTTTAGTCAATGATCACATTTGTCGTTAAAATCTGTGTTTTCTTACGTTTGTCCACTCACCTACATTTGCTATTCATTATTTAATTGCTTTGGTTACTTAAACAGCATAAATTTCAACTACTGAATGTCTTCATTATGGTGGACGGTCAGAAATCTTAGGTGAAAGGTGTTCTGAGTGCTTGAGTCGTTTGTTATTTCTTGAATTTCTGTAAGCTTTTCTTGGTGCAGTTATATACTTCAGGATTCTTAAGTCTTCAAAATAAAAACATTTTAAACATCAGTTATTCTGTTGCATTTGTTGCTTTTTCAGTTGGCAAGTTAGAAAATGTCTCTTGAACATTACATAAAATGCTAATAAAATGATTTCATTTCAGAATGTTACAAATGAATTTTGTATGTAAATATGCAATTTGTGGAGACACCTTCTGTGGGCTCATTTAAAAAGATCATTTCAGCTACTCTTGGAATATTTTATTGCTGCAAGATAGTATGATGTGAACTGCTGTTCACACTCTAGCTACCACTAACAATTATTTATTTTTATTTTTTCTTCAGTAGCACTTAGTTTTTTTTTATTGTTTTTTTGTGCCTGGCCGGTATGGGGATCCTAACCCTTGACTTTGGTATTATAACACCATGCTCTAACCAACTGAGCTAACCCACTAATAGTTATTAAAGGGATGAAGGTCACTGGAGAGTGATAAATTTTCTAATATAAATTGCATTTTGATTGTTAATTAGTTATTTTTTAGACAACCCCAAGATTTCACTTTAATTGTAGTTATCATTCTTACAAAAAGTGAAAAATAATTAAAGCCAAAATATTAGGAGAAATATCCTTAGCATGCCCCACCTGGCTAACTTTGCAGTCTGCCTGCCTTCTCTCCAGTTAGGGAGATCAGGAAACAGAAAATTGAAGTAGAGAAAATGGAAAGCTTGTGTGAATATTAAAAAAATAAATGCAGTCATACAATACATTTCAAAGCCAAATAAGTGATATTCACTATTATTTTTCTATTTGCATACAGACTTCTCAGTGAGGCCTCTCCCTCACCATCCTATATTAAATCATCTCTCTGCCTGAATCTGCTTTTCGCTGATTCACTTTGTCTTTTTCCACAGCACTTATCCCATTGTAACGTGCTTTGTTATTTTCTTATTTATGTTGTCATCTGTTTCCCCTCATATGCTCCAAGGTGATAGGGTGTGTTGTTTGCATGTATATACATTCATCAGCATGAAGCAGGCACACAATATTTGTTGTGTGATTGAACGAAGGAGGAATAACAATATTTCAGTTTAGATGACGTGGTATTTTTACGTGCTCATTTTCAACTAACGGATAAGTGTTGCATACTGAAAAAAGCTTTGGAGTGTAAAGCAGACTTCAATTCTGCAGTGTGGATATGGAGATTCATTAACAGATAATTTTTCAAGGATCCATTCTGTTGATTGCAATGTCGGGGATATTAGATCATAAAAATCTGTCCAACAGCCTTTGAAGGTTGTAGCTCTGTGGCTCCCACTTTGAGTCCATTTAAAAAAAAAATAATGTAATTCTCAGCTTTTTTGAAAGATGGTTTCTTAATTTGTTACTTTGTTTTTCAGAAGCAATTTTGAGAAAAGTCATTTGATATAGACTTTGGTATTACTCTTAGTCTAATCTCTTTAATGCTGAAAGTAAAGAACATTTATTTCACGTAGGAGACCTATAACTGCTGAAGAAATAATATTACTAATTTTCAGTTAACTGGCATTCAGCCTTTGGCTATATACTACTTTTAGGAGAAAAAGCATTAAAAAAAAAACCAAGCAGTTCCATAGGAATTTTTTTTCAAAAGGAATGTTTAGGAGCTCATATCATACATTATCTGTGTCAATATTATTTGATTTTTAAGCCAAAAAGCAATGAATATTTTAGTTTTAGATATGAGGAATATGTCCAGTAAATGAAATTATTATGAAATATGACATTATTTGTGCTTGAAATTAGAGAATGTTGTAATGTCATAACATTAGTTTCAGGTCTTGGTGAAACTTAGTAAACTAAATCTAAATGTTTGAAATGAGGAACCTGAGGTACGTTAAGATTTTAGAACATGGGAAAAAAAAGATAGAATTATTATTGCTTTATAAGACAGGAAAATGTAATTTTTTTGGATAGAGTTTTTATTTATAAGAATTGAAACAAAATAGAAGATCTGATTATCCTGAAAACCACTAAGAATCTGTTTCTCATGTATTGTGGTTGAGGTTTTAGATTATTATAATTTGCTTTTTCTGTGGTCTTGATTTGGTAGAAGCAGAGTTGCTTGAAGAAATATGTCTTTATAAATGAAATTTTACATGTTGATTTGCTATAAGTTACAGATTTTAGTAGAGCTTCAGGAATATGGGTTCAAGATTGGTGGAAATGATTTATGTAATGTCGCGATCTTGCAATGTTTAAAAAAAAAAAAAAAAAACCAACAACCTTCAAAAGTGACATTTTGACACCAGCCAGATATATAGGACCCATCTTTTCCTTAAGAGCCACCACCTCCTGGGAATTCAGATTCATCCAGTTGTCCCCAATTTGATAGGTCCTTTCTCCCCTATATTTTAGGCATATTTGTTCATTTTCTTGTTTAGCTTTAGGATGATATTATTAGATTAACATTTTCACAAGATCTGTTGCTAAGGCTTTTTTATTTTTAAAGGTTCTCGGCAAAGATTCAGTTCCTTCAAAGTAACTGAATTTAGAACATCTTACAAACCTATAAAACACATCTGACAGTTAACTTTGTTTCATTCTAGAACCCCGGTAAGAGGTATGTGATAGCATACTAAAGAAAGAATCATGTTTTTCCTTTTTACCTTTTTGGTCAGAATGACCATTTCTTTCAGCCATCTGCTCTGGGCCAGTCTGATTCTCCTTGACAAGAACTTCTGTTGAGCCTACTGCTTTCAAGCCTACCTTGATCTGTGCCTTCTTTAACTCTTTGTT